AGACACCTTCTCTGTTCCCTACATTTATTATTTGCTCTAGCCTTTGAAAAGCTTCACAATTTATTATCTTAGCTCACCAAATGGGATTCATAAATCAACTTGATTTCATTATTCCACTTTCTGTCAGGAACCAGTGTATGCCCCCTAATTAGGCTACTGTAATGTACAAATGAGTGTGAACAAAGTCCACACCCTTGTTCCACAGCAAGATTCCAACTGCTCTGCTCAAGGCCCTTCTATTTTTCAACTCAACAAACATTTACTGGGTACCCATTACATAGGAGGCATGGCTTTAATGAAGCAAGGACTTATAATGATAAAAGAAGATGCTTGTCTTCAAGTGGCTTAAAAATCCCATTTCTCCTGAAAAATAATTACATGACCTACTATGTCTCCTCTTTAACAATCTTGCATTATTATGCCAGAATTATTGCCCACTGACTTCACCAATCCATACAGCAGTATTCAAATTAAGTAAAAATTTAAAATTACAATGCTCAGCTGTATTCTGGGCAGAAAACAATTTTCTTAATGAATTTTTACATCTATACCTGTCCAATCGACTATGCATCTTCAATGAGGCCTTCTATGTGTGAACGTCCTATTATACCACCCCTTCCTTTTTGAGATTCTCTTTCTTCTCCCCCGCCCCACCCTTATCCACGTACATTTAGAATGCTACGGTTCACAAAGCTTTGGCACAAAATTATCCCACTGTACCCTCCACAAAATTAGCCAGATCGTGCACTCTGCACAGAAGGCGGGGACAGGTACGTGTTGATCGCTGCTGCATCCCTGTCACCTAGTACAAGACCTGACACGCTGGTCACAAATACCTGCCCAGTGAATGAATGGATGACTCTTGTTAGAAATTATTATCCTCATTCTACGGACAGGGAAACGTATGCTGAGAGCGGAGCTTGCTAATGAGAGGCAAAACTCTCCTCAACATCAACTCCTCAGTGCAGTCAAGCAGCCTGAATGCTCCGGGTTCAAATCCCGGCTGTGCTCCTTGCTCTCAGGGCTGCCCTAGGAAGGGAACGCCTGGGTTCGTGACACCTGTGGTAAGAAGGGCATAAACCTGGGTTGCTGTAGCGGTCCCGGTGATGGTGGCTAGCGCTCCTGACACCTCACAGCAGCTCACACTTGCCGAGAGTTCACCACATGTCTGACACTGTGTCAACCGGGCCAGGCGAACTGCTCTGGGCGCCACTGCAACCCTTCGCGCTCCACTAGGAAACGTGCGCTCCCCGGAAGCTGCTCCAGGGCACCGAGACGCGGGGGAACCTGAGCCTTCGGGTTCCGCACGCAGGGCCGTGCCCTCCGCTCGGCTCCGTTTGCCACCGCGCCCTACAGCGCCCCACAGCCTCCTCTGGTCGACTCCAGCTGTCACCGTCAGCGTGGCGCCAGGGCGGCCGGGGGCGCGCGTCGGCTCTCACACCTGCGCTCCCGCACCCGGGCCCCGCCCCCCCACCGTGGGCACTGTGGGCGCCACCCCCACCTGTGGAGTCGGTGGGTCGCGCTGAAGGAGACGAGGCGGGACACCCGCGCCCGGCGGCGACAGCCCTCGCCGGCGCCCGCCACGCTCATCGCCTCGCCTCCGCACTTGGCTGGCGCCCGGGCTGGAAGACAGCGCGTCCCGCGTCTGCGCAGTGCGGCCGGCGCGCTGGGACGCGCTCTCCACTCCGCGCTGCGACTGGCTCCCTCCGCTGGTCTGGAGGCAGTAAAGCGTCCGGTAAGGTGAGTCTCTTGGATAGCAGAGTTGGCATAAGCTAAGCAAACCCCCCAGCGGTCGGTCGGAAAAGGTGGGTAGGACCTTAGTGTCTTTCATTATACTGACTGGTCAGCCCTAGGCCAAGTCGGGCCATTAGGGTCAGCCGGGGCACACTTTGGGTACTGGAGGGACCTCTTTGAGATGCTCCTGCCACTCCCTTCCAGAAAGCCCTAGTTAGAGTAACCTACCTCCACTGGCTGGTTACTCTGAGATGAGCCCCAGGGCCAATCCACTTATAGCATAAAGGGAGCGGGAATTCCAGGGCACGTGTGGGAGCACTTGGCTTTTGGAAATGATACTACCTTTGGACTGTTTGTAAAGATTCTTCTTCTTCTTTTTTTTTTTTTTAAAGATTTTATTTATTTATTTGAGAGAGAATGAGAGAGAGAGAACACATGAGAGGGGATAGGGTCAGAGGACGAAGCAGACTCCCTGCCAAGCAGGGAGCCCGATGCGGGACTCGATCCAGGGACTCCAGGATCATGACCTGAGCTGAAGGCAGTCGCTTAACCAACTGAGCCACCCAGGCGCCCAAGATTCTTCTTATTAAGGGAAATTCTCAAGCTTTCCTTCTCATCCACACACATGAAGCCATTTATCACAGTGTGAACACATGCAGCCGTGAACACACACACATTAGAGATTCTCTGTCACCTCCAGAGTGAACGGATCTTGTTTCCTCACACCTATCTATAAGGAGTATCCACACTACTTGCAGTTCCCAGTATTATGTCACCTCTCTTCACCATTCATTTCCTCACTAAATACGTACTGAATAGCTAACCATGAGGCTGGCAGGGTTCCAGGTACTGGGAAGGATAGATTAAATCATGAGAGTGGCAGGCATTCGGGCCCCAAATGTTGATTTCTCTCAAATGTCTCCTGTCTCCGGCTACATACTCTGTTCTGCATGAAATTACTGTCATGTAGCAAACATTAACACATTTTCAAATATTTTTATTCTCTTCCCTGTTGGGCTGTAAAAAAATGTCAAAGAAGGATAAACTTCAGAGACATATGAGATAGACATTATCTAGTTCAGTCCTCTCACAGATAGGAAAACACGGGCCCAGATAAGTGAATTACTCATCCAAGACCACTTACAATAAAACAGTATTTCCTGGACATTGACCACATCGGGGATAAAATACTTGGCTCATTCCGAACGAAGTCTTAAGAATCAAAATACAAAGCCGAAGGAATTTCTGAGAAATTGCTATAATTACTTTAGTAGAACATGGCATTACATTTGCAGAGCTCTTTCTCTAAATGTTTTTATTAAGGGTACTCACCAAATTTACCCTCAGTGATCCTGTTACGGATTCAACCATGTCCCCCCAAAATTAATGTTGAGCCCCCCAGTACCTCAAAATATGACTTTATTTGGAATAGGGTCTTTGCAGATGTAATTAGTTAAGAGAAAGTCACAAGGGGGAAGCCCTAGTCCCTTTACCCCTTCCCTATGCACCACATACTCCCTTTCCTTGAGTCTCTGGACACTGCTGAGTGATAAGCTGGGCTTAGGGAGAGAAAGAAGCCCTGCTTAGGCTTAAACTTAGTCATATGCTCATTCAATTCTACCAGAACTCTCTGCACTAGATTACCAGGCATAGGCATATTACAAAATGTCATTGATCCTTTTTTGTCTTCTCCTTCAAGAACCTCATAGATGACAGAGCCACAGAAGAATTTGGGCATCCTTGGGTCAAAATCTTATGATTGTACTGCTAACCTTTATATGTTTGAACTTCACTCCCTGTGATTAGGATGGAATTTATAGAGGAAAGACGTTATCAGCTTTGCATACTTCACAGAAGTCAGCTAGAATCTCCTCCACCCTTTAGATCCGGATAAGATCTAAAACAATCTTCCATGTCTTGTCTGGGGGAGTACAATGCCTTTTTGAGGATTTCTGTGAGATATATTTACGTTCTCTTACAATGACTTCAGCCTCGAAGCTCCCACATCTGCTGTCTTAGCTGTACTTAGGCATCTTCTCGTCATTCTGGTACCAACTGCTTTTGTTTTGTGTTTCATCAAGCCAGATACAAAACTTAGAACTTTCACTTTATTGCCACAATGTAAACCATTACCTGTGGCATTTTTGTACCTGTGGGAACACTTCACTGAAAAGGACAAGGTTTATGATGTCTGTAATAACTCCTGAGGATAACTGGGAAGAAACTGGCTATGCTGGTCCAGGGGTGTGCATGAACCATGAGTTCACAGTTGCCCCAAACTACACATCTAGGAGGCTTCCCCAGCAACATTCAACATGCAGAGGGAGAGAGGACAGTTTAACTGGCCCCAGGCTGGAGTTAAGTGGAGAGAGGAAGTATAACTGAAGGAAAAGGGAACAAGAGATCTTGAAGGTGGGGGCGCCTGGGTGGCTCAGTTGGTTAAGCGACTGCCTTCGGCTCAGGTCATGATCCCGGAGTCCTGGGATCGAGTCCCACATCGGGCTCCCGGCTCAGCGGAGAGCCTGCTTCTCCCTCTGACCCTATCCCCTCTCATGCTGTTTCTCTCTCTCTCTCTCTCTCAAATAAATAAATAAAATCTTTAAAAAAAAAAAAGAGATCTTGAAGGTGTTGGCAAGAGTATGGTTTAAGTGACAGACGTAGCGGGATTTGGGCTGTTGGTAAAACTGGGGGTGAGAGAGGGGGTTTAGAAATGAGATTATATGGCCTCTAGTGCCACCTGTTGCCCGACTGAATGAAGACCTACTGACTTCTCATCAATTTCTGGAGAACTATACACCTGGAGATTAGAAGAAATGCCTGATTTTAGTGACGTCCCTCAAAACAACACCCTCCCAAGGCTGAGCTGGGGGCAGGGCAGAAGGTGGCAGTCGGTGGCGTCTGTGGACAGCAGAGAAACAGTTTGGAAGAAAGCCTCTAAGCATGACATAGCTGGCTTCCCGTCCTCTGTGAGCCCTAGAACCCGTGCTAACAGGCAGGCTGTGACGGGGAAAAATGAGGTGCTTTTTAGAGCTATATTCATATTTTACTATCTACGATTATTTGTATTTTTTCTCTCAAGTGTGAGAACCTCCGTCACCCACCCTAACTGGTGGTGGTAATGACACAGCTCTACTTTTTCTTTCTCGTATATTTATTATCTAGAGGAAGATCTATCTAGTAAATATAAATTTAAAACTCTCTTCAAAAGGTTGTATCAACACTTGTTTAATGTTTTTAAGAAAGAGCTCTAAAAAATTATAAAACCATTATTATCTCAAGAATTCTGTTTTTAATAGAAATTTTAAAACCAGGTGTCTGTGGTTTGGAAGGGAAGGTGCCCTTTTTGCTCTCCCTTTTGTACGGAGCATGTTCATTTTAAAGCTAGTTTCCAGGTGTTTCGAATTGCTCCATCAGATGGTTACAAAGGTGCCATGGATCCCATAAGGCATTTGCACAGGTACTTCTGCTCGGCCCAGTTCTTCAAAGTTCTTGGCATCCAAGACTAGGAGAAAATTGTTTTCATTCTAGAACAGAAAGACAATACTGAAAATTCTTTTGATAATGTCTTACGCATCTTCCTATCTATCCTCACCACCTAGCACAGTGCTTGACTATCCATCCATTCACTAAATGTTTGCTGAATGGCTGAACGAGCCTGAGAAGGACATTATGGCTGAAGAAGTTCATACCTAGACTGAAGAAATTAAGTTGTTTGTATCAATTACCTTCAGAGGATCTCTTGGAGTTTAAGGATCTCCTTACCTGCCCCTTTTCAATCTCCTAAGAGACAGAATTTTTTTCTTCCAAATTAGAAATGTTTCCATTTTGTGTTACTTTGGAGCTGTACAAAGGGTAGCATTACAAGGCAGATTGATATTTGCCCTGGTGTAATTACATGAGTGGCAAGTACATGGTATGAGGACAAAGTCCTCCTAAGCCTATGACAGATACTAGTAATTGATCATGGCACTTTTCTCACCAAACCCTTAAAAAGCCTCAGGCGACGCCTGGGTGGCTCAGTTGTTAAGCATCTGCCTTCAGCTCAGGTCATGATCCCGGGGTCCTGGGATCGAGTCCCACATCGGGCTCCCTGCTCGGCGGGAAGCCTGCTTCTCCCTCTCCCGCTCCCCCTGCTTGTGTTCCCTCTCTTGCTGTGTCTCTCTCTGTCAAATAAATAAATAAGGGGCGCCCAGGTGGGTCAGTCGTTAAGCGTCTGCCTTCGGCTCGGGTCACGATCCCAGGGTCCTGGGATCGAGCTCCACGTCGGGCTCCCTGCCCGGCGGGAAGCCTGCTTCTCCCTCTCCCGCTCCCCCTGCTTGTGTTCCCTCTCTCTCTGTGTCTCTCTCTGTCAAATAAACAAAATCTTTTAAATATAAGATAAAATAAAAAGCCCCAGAATCCTACATCCCAGGCACCCACTAATAACTGGTCGAAGCTGGTACTCAACCTATTTGCCACAAGACGGCCTTAGACAAGAAGTTAAGACATCAACATGATTGAAACACTAGGGCTCACCACATTAGACTTTTGGGGCACTCGGATGAAACTGGCGGCACAGTTGGTGGCATGAACATCAGACTAGACGTCAGAAGACAGATTTAAACACGGGCTTTACTACTATGATCTGACACAAGCTCTCTCAACTCTAAGTTACAAATTCCACGTGTGTAAAATGGTATCCAACAAAGCTGTTCTGATGAGTAAATAAGGTGACATGTGTGAAAGTCGTTTGTAAATGAATTCCTATGCAAATGTAAATTATGAGGATGATTCTATAAATAGGACGTTAAAGTAATAATAAGGCATGGATTATGATAAAAGGGTATGTACATATGAGGAGAGGAAGAAAAGGGAGAAAGTGCTGTATTGGAATCAAAAACTATTGATAGCATCACTGAATATAATCCTCAAAAGGCTCATTGCTACTTCTCTTTTTAACTAGTGATGAGGAGATACATTTACCTGGTCAGGGGTGATCACTGCAGAGAGAATAACCCCACCATCTTCTTCACTGGCTCCTGGTTCTGGAACAAACACTGGTTCTGAGGGGTAAAAGCCATCTTCTCTCCAAATCTAGAAGTCCCAAAAAAAGTATTTGATAGAAGGCTAGTTATGAGCAGGAAGCCTTCTATAGCTTTTGTCATTCCCAGCATGAATTTGGCTGTCTAATACAATATTCCAACAGTAAAAGAATCAGGCTCACTGAGTTGAATGGGCGGGGTGGGGGGTGATTTTGCAGCTGCAGACTCCATCATCATCAAACACACTTTGTACAATTTCCCATCGACCTGAAATATAAATGTCCCAACAACCTGAACCCCATTATTTGTCTAAAAATAAGATCATGCAGAGACTTGTTTTTCTGGGCTTGTGATTCATTTAAGATTTCCTAGACAGAATATACCCCTAGCCTAGGTGATACCACGGTTCTCAAACTTAATAAAAGTAAATGGCTGAGCTGCCTAAATATTAAAGAATCTCAAGAGCTACTTTAACAAAACAGAAACTAATTCAAAGTGCAGAACACGTCATTTAAGAGTTCAGAAAGGGAGGGGCACCTGGGTGGCTCAGTCGGTTAAGCATCTGCCTTGAGCTCAGGTCATGATCTCAGGGTCCTGGGATCAAGCCCAGTGAAGGGCTCTCTGCTCAGTGGGGAGTCTTCTTCTCCCTGTCCTCTGCCCCTCCCCAGCCCGCTCATGCTCTCTGTCTCTCTCAAATAAAATATTTTTTAAAAAAGAGTTCAGAAAGAGAAAAAGATTTGCATTACCGTCAGTGTCTTATTCACCACATCCACCTTGATCAGAGAATCCCCCACCAAATGCCGAAAGCCACAACCATAGAAGAAACGATACTTTTTGCCACTGAATTGGCCATAGTTGATCTGGGGAAATTCAACACCTCCTTCCTCCTCGAGATCCTCAGGATGTAGATTTTCATAAGAGCACCAAATCTAAAAGAGGTTCCAAAAAGATATACAGTAATTGCTTACTTGCACACTTATTTTATTCAGTGTAGGTCAGTGAGGGTGCTAGGAGTTTGTGACAGGGCTTGGGGACTGAGACTCTAAGTCACTTTTTCCATTGTTCCTCTTTCCATCATATGTATGAATGCATAAAAGATGATCAGGTTTGGGGGCACCTGGGTGGCTCAGTCAGTTAAGCATCTGACTCTTGATTTTGGCTCCAGTCATGATCTCAGGGTTGTGCGACTGAGCCCCGTGTCAGGCTCTGCAATGAGTGTGGAGCCTGCTTAAGATTCTCTCTCTCCAAGGGGAACCCTCTTACACTGTTGGTGGGAATGCCAACTGGTACAACCACTCTGAAAAACAGTATGGAATTTCCTCAAAAAGTTAAAAATAGAGCTTACCCTACAACCCAGCAATTGCACTACTAGGTATTTATCCAAAGGATACAAACATAGTGATTCAAAGGGGCACCTGCAGCCCAGTGTTTATAGCAGCAATGTCCATAATAGCCAAAATATGGAAAGAGCCCAGATGTCCATCAACAGGTGAATGGATGAATGGATAAAGAAGATGTAGTGTATACACACACACACACACACACACACACACACACACACACACATGGCGGGGTGGGGGGGAGAATATTACTCAGCCATCAAAAAGAATGAAATCTTGCCATTTGCAATGACTTGGATAGAACTAGAGGGTATCAGGCTAAATGAAATAAGTCAGCCAGACAAAGACAATTACCATATGATTTCACTCATATGTGGAATTTAAGAAACAGAACAGAGGATCATAGGGGAAGGGAAGGAAAAATAAAATAAGATGAAATCAGAGAGGGAGACAAACCATAAGAGTCTCTTAACTATAGGGAACAAACAGGGTTGCTGGAGGGGAGGTGGGTGGGGGGTTGGGGTAACTGGGTAATGGGCATTAAGGAGGGCACGTGATGTAATGAGCACTGGGTGTTATATGCAACAGATGAGTCACTGAACTCTACCTCTGAAACTAATAATACAGTATATGTTAATTTTTTTTAAAAAAAGATTCCCTCTGCACCCTCCCCCCACTTGCACAAGCGCACTCTCTCTCTCTCTCTCTTTCTCAAAAAAAAAAAAATATATCAGGTTTTGTGATGAAGCTGTCAAATGGCATAAGAGGTGGAAGTGGGCTTTTTATTCTACTAAAGCTAAAACACTGACAGCTAAACAATAACATGGTAAGTGCAAATTATCTAAAAGGTGGAGATGATCAATAACAATCTCAAATACTTAGGCATTTCACAACCATTAGAAAACTGTACCTATCTGTTTCAAAACACAAAAAGGACAGAATTCTGCAATTATTGTGACCTTACCCTGCTCAGCTGAATGTTATCAGACTTATCAGGCACAAAACATTGTGGAGAACAGCCAAGGAATGAAGTAACATGACTAAAAATCAAAGTCTTCGTCTAATGTCCTTTCATATCATACCTTTCCATCAGCTTGTTTCACAGCACTAGCTGAAGAATAGGACAATGGGCTGAGGTTCTCTCCTTCGGGGTCATTCAAACTGACATGTAAGGGCAAAACAAACCTTCGAGGGAAAGATCTGCCTGCTGAATTATAGACCTGTTCAGGAGAGACAAAGAAACAGATGAGAAAATGTCATTCATGGGATAACAGCATGTCCCAATAATTTATACCCAGTCAACTTTATTGGCATTCCTAAGTAATTGCATAAGTGATATTTTTCATTCATTCATTTATTCCACAAATATCTGTTAAGTACCTTCTATAGGCAAAGCACTGTTTTAGACACTGGGAATGCAACACTGAACAAAGTCTCTGGCCTCATGGAACTCATATTCTAGTGGAGAAAAGATGATAATAAATAAGAATTAAATACATGTTATTGAATTCGTGTCAAATAAACAAACGATTAGATAGCCCAAGGTCTGATAGTGATAAGTGCCATTAAGAAACATACTGTAGGGTGAGAGCCTAGAGAGTAACAGGGTGCTTCCTTCTTCATGTTTAGTCAGAATAGGACTCTGCGTGGAAAAGCATTAACTTTTAGCAGGCCTGGGTTGCTCAAACCTGGCACATTCTCAAGAAAGCTGTTTTCATGATTGGTTCCTGGCTGACACCTGGAAGCTAAGCTCTTGGAATGTTCTGTCTGACAAGAGTGGCTCTGCATGCCTGAGGTCTTGAGTACTAGTTTGTCTAGTACTCTACTAGACAAACTGTACACACTGTACTAGTTTGTCCAGACAATTTATGCTAACAATGTGATTTATAATGAACGCCTGCTTCCTTGTGGGCATATGGAGCTTTGCTAACCGAGGGTGTTAGGGGCTTTGTGCCTATGTGCTGATTCCCAACAAAACCCTGGACAACCAGCTTCCCTGGCACACAACATTTCACACACGCTGTCACAACAAGTTGCTAGAGAAATCAGGTGTGTCCTGACTCCACTGGAGAGGACTTAGAAGGGTGCACCTGGCAGTTTTCTCTAGACTTCATCCCATGAACCTTTGCATTTGCTGATTTTTCTGAGATCTGTGAACCCTCCTAGTGAATCATTAAACCAAGGGTAGCTTTGGGAACCCCCAACACAACCTCCCTGTAGAGATCATGTTTAAGCAGGAGACTCTAACAAAATAAGTGTATTTTTTTTCTGACAATGAGAATGCTTTAAGCACATTTTCTTCTCTTGAAATACTGTAAAATGGAGGGCAAATCGTGCCATTTCCCCTCATACACCTGGTCTGTATCATCTCCACCTCACACAGAAAAATTTTTACCAAGTAAAGATTTAGTGCTATTTTTAAGCTTTACAAAGAGTTAGATTTTTATAATTACCTTTAAATTTATTTAAACTTTTTTTTTCCTTTTGCAAAACCATAGCTGAAAAAAAAGAGTTAATGTGGATCAACTGTCCCACTGAGAACAGCTAAAGAAGCTGGACAAGATGTTTAAAACAGGGGCGCCTGGGTGGCTCAGATGGTTGAGTGTCTGCCTTCGGCTCAGGTCATGATCTCGGGGTCCTGGGATCAGGTCCCGCATCAGGCTCCCTGCTCCTTGGGTGCCTGCTTCTCCCTCTGCCTCTCTCTCTCTGTCTCTCATGAATAAATAAATAAAATCTTAAAAAAAAAAAAGATGCTCAAAACAGCTGTGTGAAGGCACTGGTGGGCTAAAAAGGCAGTGAAGATCAATATGGCAGAGATTTGGAGGGAGAAGGAAACCCACAGGTAAACAAGATACTGGGGGCAACTTGTTCCCTCATATCAGCTGCTTCTAGGAAAAGGCAGCTGAAAGGCTGAGAAAATGAAAGAATTTTTTTATTAAACTTTTTAATCTTCAGATCACTGCAGATTGGCATGAAATAATCCAGAAAAATAAACAATTGATTTAAAAAATGGGCAAGAAACTAGAATAAACTAGAATAAACATTTTGCCAAAAATATACAAATATATACAAAATATACAAGAAACTAGAATAAACATTTTGCCAAAAATATACAAATATATACAAAATATACAAATGGCCAATAAGTACATGAAAAGATGCTCAACATCATTAGTCCTTAGGGAAATACAGATCAAAACCACAATGAGATACTACTTCACACCCACTAGGGTGACTATTGTCAAAAAAATGAAAACAAAACAAAATCAAAAACAGAAAATAACAGGTGCTGGTGAGATTGTGGAGAAATTGGACCCCTGTGCAAGGTGCAGCTGCTGTGGACAACAGTCTGGCAGTTCCTCAAACAGTTAGATATAGAATTATCATAGGATCTGGCAATTCCACTTACAGGTATAAACAAAAAGAATTTAAAACAGGGACTCAAATAGATATTTGTATGCCAATGTTCATGACAGCATTATTCGCAATAGCTGAAAGGTAAAAAAACAACCCAAATGTCCACCAACAGATGAATAGATAAGCAAAATGTAGTATAGACATACAAGGAAATATTTAACCTTTAACAGGAATGAGATTCTGATACATATTAAAACATGGATGACCCTCGAAAGGATTATGCTAAATAAAATAAGCCAAACACACAAAAAATAAATCTTGTCTGCTTCCACTTATATTAGGTACCCAGAGTAGGCAAATGCATAGAAACAGAAAGTAGAATAGAGAGAGGGGGAATAGAGACTTGTTATTTAATGGGTAGAGTTTCTGTTAGGGATGATGAAAAAATCTGGAAATGGACAATGGGTATGGCTGCACAACAGTGTTCATGTACTCATGCCACTGAACACCTAAAAATGGTTAAAATGGTAAATTTTATGTTATGTATATTTTATCACATAAAAAAATAATAATGCAGAGATGACATGTATCCTTCATCCAGATTCACCAATGATAACGTCTTGCATAACAACACAACAATATCACAGCTGGAAAATTTACATTGATATAATCCACCAACTTTATTCAGATTTCACCAGTTGAACATGCACTCATGTATGTGTGTGTGTGTATTTAGTTCCATGCAATTTTATCATGTGTAAATTCATGTGATCACCACCACATTCAAGATATAAAATCACCACGAAGATCCTTCACACTACTTATTTTTAAAGATATAGCCACACCAACTCCCCCACCACTTGACCCTAGTGAGTAGAGATTTTGATAGTTTTGAGAAACTAGAGGGACAAAATGTGGAGTTCAATGACTGCCAAAAAGGAGAAGCCCTGATAAACCCCTAGTTCTTTGGGTCAGGACTCCTTAGGTCAGCACCTAAGAGTAAGAATAAACAAGAAATAGTCCAGCTCTTTCAGGGACTGTACCCTGCTTCAAAATATCTCAATCCCTATAACTAGATTTAAGAATATCTGGAACTGATCATATACCCTAGCAATCTGCCAAAAGCGAAAAAAAATTCTCTCTGGAGGAGCATAATATCATCCTGGATCTCAAAATATCTCTACAAATTTTCAAACACAATATTCTGTACACAATAAAAATTAGCGAGTGCATGAGAAGACAAGAGAGTATGATTAAAAAACAAAACAAAACAAGATAACAACAGAAACAGAGCCACAAGAGATCCAGATAATAGAAGCTATCAGACTAAGTATTCTGAATATGTTGGAGGAAATTCTTTTAAACTGAGCATTGTAGCAGAGAACTAAAAATGATAAAAGAGAACCAAATTAAAATTCTAGAACTGAAAAATGCAATGGGAGTTTAAGAATTGAGTAGCAAGGTTTAACAGCAGAATAGACACAGCTGAAGAAAGAATGAACTGTTAGATAAGGAAATATCCAAAACAAGATGCTTAGAGAGACACAAGGATGGTAAATACTAAACAGAACATAAGCAACAGATGGACAGAGTGAAAAGCAGTGACATATGTGTACTGTGGACCCAGCCAGAAGAGAAAGGATTTACCAAATGCAACATTTGAAGAAATAATAAGTGACATTTTTCAAAAACTACTGAAAGACATTGAACCATAGATTCAAGTATCCCTAAAAACACCCACATAAAATAAATAAAAAGAAAACCATATTGAGAGATATCATAGGACTAACTACAGAAAATCAAAGAGAAGATTTTAAAATCAGAGGAGGAAAAATGATCAACTTCAAAGGAGCAAAGCTTAGACTGACTACTGATTTCTCAACAGAAATCAGAATACAATCAAATATCTTTAAAGTGTCAAAATAAAATAACTAACAACCTGGAATTCTTTATCCAATGAAAACATCCTTCAAGAAAGAAAGTAAAATAAAGACACTTTTTTTACAGGCAAAAATATAGATTTCATCACCAGCATATCTGAACCAAAGGAAATACTAAAAGATGTTCTTCTGTCAGGAAGAAAATGATTCCACATGGAAGCTCAGAGAGACAGAGAGGAATTAAGAGCAATTGAACAGTACAGATGTGGGGAAATGGGTAGTATTGGGGACTATGATTACATAAAGCAACATTAGTAATAATGCCTTGTAGGGTTTAATAGAGAGAAAATTAAAATATACAACAGTAGTGTATAAATTGGGAATATAAGTATAAATGTGTGTGTAAATATAAGTGTCCAGAGTTCTTGCATTGTCTGCAAAGAATTAAAAGAACCAATTTATAATATATCGTGTTAAATGAAGAATGCATATTGTAATCTCTAAAATAACCACTAAAAGAATGTATACCAAGCTAATGGGCAGAGGGTGGAATGAGGTTTGAGGAAGGGGAGATGGAAATGAAACAATAAAATATACTCAACCAATCCAAAGAAGGCAAAAAAAGAGAGAGAAAGAACAATGACACAAATAGGAAGTGAATGGTAACATGGGATTTTTAAGCCTCAATATAGGTGATTATTCCAACTAAATGCTCAATTAAAAGTCAAGAATTAGGGGCACCTGGGTGGCTCAGTCAGTTAAGTGACTGACTCTTGATTTCAGCTCAGGACATGATCCTGGGATCATGAGTCCTGGGATCGAGCCCCACTGCGGGCTCCACGCTCAGTGGAGAGTCTGCTTGAGGATTCTGTCTCTCTCCCTTTGCTCCTCCCCACCACACACATGCATGTACACCCTTTCTCAAACAAATAAATCTTCAAAAAAAAAAAGTCAAGAATTAGCACAATGGATTTTTAAAATAT